GGCCAGCTCAAGAAGTGGTCACAATGTTACGATGCTTCTCCCGTTTCGTCCCACCCATCACGACACTCAGATGCTCCTCATTCGGCTAAAGCTTGCTAGACCGCTCTCGAGCACGCAGACTGAGCACTTCGGTGTTGAGCCAATTTGTTTTAAACTCTGTATCAAATTTTATTTCAGTTTTATTTTGGTCACTGAACATATTCGTTTCGGGGTTTTTGCGCTAGACTATTTTTTTGATATTTTGGCTTTCATTATGCGTAATTAGTGTGATTTTATTTCGTAAAATACCTCATATTAATGCAATCCAAAATTACACATTTGTCGTTTAATACATTTCCGTTAATATTTTCTCTATCTCCACATCGCCAATGATAATGCTTCATGGATTCACAACTCAATACCTTTTTGGTGTTTCTTCCACACAACAGGGACCAGATTTCACTACATATTTTTCTACTCAGATCTGTAATTTTGCAACAATAATCAATAACGATAAGACTGTGTCTATGATAGAGCATTTTGAGCAAATTTATTTTTGACTTTGTAATTAGCGAATTTTATTTTATTTTTATTTCGGTCCCTTTTTATAGTCGTTTGGGAGATTTTTGCCCTACTTTTTTACCTGGATGATTTCCCTCGGACTGTGCATCGATGGCAGTAGAATACAGGGCGTGACGTCAGTGCCCGCTGAGAGCTGCACATCTGTCGCGCTGCGGCGGCGGAGACATGTGCCAAGTGCCAGATAGCAGGCGCACTTCCTTCCCTGTTCGCTTTCGCTATCTGCAATCGACGGCCTCCACTTCCTTCCCTCCCGCGCACCACAACGTTGCTGCCCCGGGGCGCAATAGGCGTGATTGCAGGATGAGCCATTCCCGATGGCAGAAACCACATGAAAGCGTTCCTCACGATAATAGCAATAATTCCTTTGCCGTTTCGGCCTCACAGCATAGATTCCTGTATTGGATTGTTTCATGGGTTTCTGATCCCTGGCGCGTCAACTGCTAAGGACACTAGCCCCGTAAGTGTAGTGCACATTTTTGGAATCACATGGAGTGGCGATCTTCCCACATTGTGTGATCCGGCGTCAACCTAGCCGTTTTTCCCCAACCAGGCATCTCCCACCAGCGGGGCACCGCCCCAGGCGGAACAAGCTCTAAGCTCCCAACATGTGTAGCAGTGTAGTGCATGCTAGTGTAAGTGTGTTTAAGTAAGGGGCGCGGATAGTACAAGGTAAAATAAGTAAAGATCCCGCGTGTTGCGTGGTCCGTTTGTTAGGGTACTGCTCCAGCATTCGACTGGTGCTGATCAGAGAAACGAAGGAAAACTACCGATCAAAAGCGCCGGCCGCTAGAATTCTCCCCCAGACAGCCACTGAATTCGATCTAGCTATGCAACTCGTAGAGAAAATCGTGCCACCGCCGGGACTCGACTTAGGACCTCCTGGTCAGAGGCGCTGCAGTGCCATCAGTTGATGCCCTTAGCATCTGCACCTCTCGGTCCGTCCGTGCCGCTTCACCCGCACTGTTTCCCGCCACACTCTATCCCGCGACCCCTCCCCCCTCGCGCGCCCGCACGCCCACTACTTGGTGCGCGTTTCCTCGTAGGATGAGCTCCACTTGCTTCGCGCGTCTTTCCTCATTTATTTCCTCCGCGAGATCTCGGTTTTCTCAAAATACATTAAAGAAAAAAACCTCGGTGGATTCGGCGGTGATGATTAAATGAAACGAGACGTGCTACAGAAACGCATATTTTCTTCGCATTATTTTTAATGCAAGCATTATGTATATTACAAGCAGTCGCCCTCACTCGCTTGGCTCAAGGCTTCAAAGTCGTATTGTTCCTACTTGGCTGCACCGGAGGCGCCACGTTCTGTGGACCGATGCCGACGTTTCTGCGACCTTCTTCAGAGCGAAATGTGCGAAATAAATTAATGTAGGTTATAATTTTACTTTTCTTTTAGATTTTATATCTTTTCTTACAAACATAAAATAGAAAAACTGCGAAAATTAATGAAACAAAACCTGCTTTTAAGAAAATGAGTCAGAACGTGAGATTTTCTTAAAAACGAAGTAAAGAAGTAATCTTTCTATATTTTTACCTTCTTTTTTGTTGATTGTAAGGTGCAAATTCCGATATAAATGTCTGAAAATTGTTGAAACGTCTTTAGTATAAATGAAATTTGAAATAATTATTTAAGTCAATATCCTAATGCGTAATGTGGTTAAAAAATGAAACTTATATTAGAAGCGTTTTTTTTACTTCTACGTAGTACTCCGAGTAAATTGATTTAAATTAGCGAAAAACTTGTTTTTTTACACTTCAAATACGAACTTTTGCAAATTTTCTCAAACTCAGTGGAAATTGTGATTTCAACGAAAATAAACTTCAAGTATTCTCTTAAGAATTCTTTATGCTATCTGGGGACGAAGGTTAATACAAACGTTTAGGAACTACTTTTAAGAAAATTTTGAGAATGTTTTTGAGGCATCATGTAAAGTACTTCCAAAATTCAAAACATCCGTTTCAAACGCAGAGCGCTCGGGACCTCAAAGAGCTCTTGGGTCCGGGAAGCTAGTGTTTCGGCTTTAGGACGCACTGTTTTAGAGTTGTACGCGACAGGGGCAAGAGGCATTCCTTTTAGCAGGCCGTGCGCCGGCATTCGCTCAACATCGGAGAAATCGCGGAAAACCACCGAAATTACAGTTCTCCACATCTATAAGGAGCTGCACTGAATGAGACGCCTCAAGCCCCGAAACGGACTGGGAGAGGTCTAATGGAAACACGCAGGTTACCCGATTACTATTCTGTGGCGGACTTCGAGATATAGAGGGGGTAATAAATAACCCGTAACACTTTCTAACGCCAGTTTACACAGGACGATCTGTTCCTTCGCATTACACATTATTAATTAACTATTTTCTTCCTCCACCTCGCGACTTTTTTAATTGAAAAATATGTTTTCGTATTGTTCACGTGTAAAGGAAGACGACGAAAACATACAAAGATGAGAAACTTCATAAAATAAGTTCTAATTCTAAACAGGAAACGCGTGCAATGTTTTGAAATGTTTATTTGGGCATCGTGTTTTGGGACACCAAGCCAGCGCCGCGCGGCCGGGTCACCACCACCTGCTGGAGCCGCGCGACATGCGCGACTGGCGCGACGCCTTGGGCGGGCGGGCCGCGATGTCCCAGGGGCTGTTCCAGTACTGCACGTTGCCGTCCGCGCAGAACAGGTAGAAGATGAACGCGAAGATCATGATGCCAGCGATCGCGTAGAAGCCGATGCTCCACCGCATCAGGCTGTTCTGTGGAACCGTCATTGGCACTCCTACGGTCCCTGGCGGTCACGTCGCGCTTCACGCCAGTGACCCCGGGCGCGGCCGCTGCTAAGCTCATTGGTTCAGTCAAGCGTAGAGCGTGTTTTTATAGCAGATGTTGGCCTTAACCTGCCAACGCTGAATGGTGAGATCCGGCGACGAACTACGAGTCGGTTAGCGGGTTTTTCCCCAACCAGGTATCCCCCACCAGCTGGACACCGCACCATCCAGGACAAGCTCTACGCTCCCGAACGGTCCCTCGGCGTGTGTCATAGTGTAGAATATGTAAGTGCAAGTGTGTGTGTAAGGGGTAAGGATAGGACAAGGAATGAGAAGGAAGGATCGCGCGCGGTCCGTGGCCCGTTTGCTAGGGTACTGCTCGGCATTCGCCTGGTGTTGATGGTAGAAACCAGGGAATACTACCGATCAGAGCAGGCGGCCTCCAGACAGCAACTAATTCGACTTAGCCGTTGACCCAGTCGAAAATTGTGTCGAAACTCCTGCAGTCTCGAGGGGAAGCCTGGTACACTCCGGTGAAAGGCTTTGCAGTGGCATCAGTCACATAGCCTTGTAGTTCGTGGAGGGTTTTTTTTCATTGATTTATTGGTATTTTCGGGCACGTCAACGTGTTAGTGTAGTGCATATAACTAGGGACGGATTTTGATTATCTAAAACATTGTCAAAATGATCAATAAAATGCTCTTTATGCGTTAAAAATGACCTAAAAACAAAAAAAATGACGTTAAAAATTTCGATGAAAACCACTTCAGATGAACAATTTGAGCTATTGGGTATGATACTGATGTAATCGAGGCTTCTTCCTTTCGTTCAAATGAACTCGGCTTGCAAACTTTGTATTGGGACTGTTCTTTAAAAGAAAATATCTGCACTTATTTATCGAGGAATCGGCCGAACTGACTATTGCCAGGACAGGCGTTACAGGAATATTAGATTACATAGTATTCACAATGGTAGATATTAAAATATACACTATGTGATCAAAAGTAACCGAACACGTGGCTGAAAATAACTTACCAGTTTGTGGTATCCATCCATCGGTAATGCTGGAATTCAATGGGGTGTTGGCCCAGTCTTAGCCTTGATGATATCTTCCACTGTCGTTGGCACACTTTCAATTAGGTGCTGGAAGGTTTCTTGGGAAATGGCAGCCCATTCTTCACGGAGTGCTGCAGGGGAGAGGTATCGATGTAGGTCGGTGAGGCCTGGCACATAGTCGGCGTTCCAAATCACCCCAAAGATTTTCGATAGGATTCAAGTCAGAACACTGCGCCGGCCAGTCCATTTCAGGTATGTTATTTTCGAGTAACCCTTCCGCCATAGGCCGTGCAGTATAAACAGGTGCTCGATCGTGTTGAAAGATGCAATCGCCATCACCGAATTGCTCTTCAACAGTGGGAAGCAACAAGGTGTTTGAAACATCAACGTAGGCCTGTTCCATGATAGTACCACATAAAACAACAAGGGGCGCAATCCCACTCTACGAAAAACACGATCACACAATAAGACCATTTTGGACGTGTCCGGATACTTTTGGTCACATAGAATATGAGCGAAGAAATCGAACTAAGGAATTCTGTGGTGATTTTTTTGCCCTCGTAAAAATGTTATTGAGTAAAGTACCATTAAAATGATATTAAAATCGATGAAATCCGCAAAAAATACATTACAAAAGTCGTAGAAAGGTAAAATATGCTTAAAAGTAAACTGACATAAATGACATAAACATGGGTCATGTCGTATTGTCATAACATAAAATTAATTTCCATTCCAAACGGCACTGTTTTAAAGTGAAAAGAAAAAATGACCTTTGATTAAAAGTCGCTCCCTACATATAACTGTGTGAGTAAAGAGAGAAGAGGGACAAATGCGATGCAGTAAAGATAGGGCGCGGTTCGTAGGCCTTTATTAGGATATTGTTCCGGCGTTTATCAGAGAAACCATAATCAAACTACCACTTTGAGCATTCGGCCGCTGGAATTCACAAATCGGAGGCTGAATTACACCCATCGATCTAACTACGGTCGAAAATCCACCACTGGGGGGTCGAACACTGATACCTCCCAGTGAACGATACAGACTGAGTACCCTCACAAACGGGCATCGGACTGCGCGAGGTGTTTCCTTCCTCTTCCTAGTCCCATTCACTCCCCTTACACACAAACTTACAAACACGCACCACACTACCACACATGACGGAAGAACAGCCGGGAACTTATATTACTTAATCGTTACATTCCTTTCCTCTCTAGAGTAAATACATTTGTCTACAGGTGTCAATGTGATGAATACTTAACAAAAACTATTTTACACTTCTGCAATCGAATTTTTACTGGAACTCACGTCTTCTGCTGTTAGCATTGACATCATCTGAGGTACAGCGATTCCGGCGATAGAAGCCAAAGTATTGGTCATTGCCATCAGCAAACCTGAAATCATAATTAGAAATAATTAATTTTAAGCAAAAGAAACATGTCAGTGGCCAAAGGGGAAAAATGTCAAGGTCATGGTCGTACTGGGCTTTCGAATATTGACTCTTTCAGTCCACAGATATTCGGGATCCTTTTTCAAGGTTAGTATTTGAAAAAAATCGTTCCACTGATAATTTTAATATTATTTATTTCAAAACAATTTTCGGTTACACCAGGGCCCGATTAAGCCTAGAGTGTTCTTTATGTGGGGACCCTTATACGAGGGTGGAATCAAAAGACATGGCAACTACTTTTTTATAGTACAACGAGCACGGGTGTAAAATGTGAAATACACGCACGAAAGGAAAAGATATGAACAAGTGCATAGCTATTTAACGATGTACCAAAATTATGTTTCTTATATTAATTAACGCACTTGAAATGACAGCAGATTCCTCAATTCCCTGTGACATTCGTGGGTATTTCTCTCATGGAGGTCGGCTCTCTTGATGTGTGGGCGCTGCTCCAAAGGGGTTATATTCATCTCGCACGGCGACTCACAAAGCCATCTGTTGTGAACAGACACTAGTTTAGCTTTCCTTTCTCGCGAGAAATAAAATTGTGTGCTTCTATAAGAACTCCTGACCCAAGCCTCGTAATATTGCAACACTCTCCGATTGCTGACTGGGGAATCGGGATCGGGTCACTTCTTCGATGCAAGGGATACTCTTAGGCCACAATATCGTGCAACATTCCTTGAGTACAATAACAAAAGAGAATATGTAGCAATGATCTCTTCTTACGTTATTTTTCTTTATTTTCTTCCTTCTTTTCTGTGTTGGCTCTGTTTCTGACTGCCCTTTGCTTTTGTTGAATGTTTTACGTTCGTCCTGACCTTTACACATTTGAATTAAATTGATGCCTTATTTTACGTGGCAAGACCGGCCACCGCTCGGGCCACCGCTCTTCCGTCTGACCACGAAAATTTCAGTCTCCTTTCACCAACTAGAGGAGAGACCAGGTGTTTCTTGGGCGACGAAACAGGCGATTTGAATTTAGCTCTTTTACATGCAGTAAATAAACTAACATGGGACAGCCGGCTTTACTTCCCGTCCGAAGGATTTTTCGCCCTAAAAATTCACGTCTTCGATCGGGTTTGAACCCGCGAACTTGGGTATAACATTCCGATACGTTAAGATTCATTTGCATCTCAGTCCAATGGCATCCGCTACCAACAAAAGTCAGCAAGTTTTTCTCAACGGATATGTGTTTGTGTGTGTGTGTGTGGGGGGGGGGAGTGAATTCGAATTTTAGGTTTGCTACCTCCAGAAATGTCGGTTTACAAGAGAAAATCGCAAAAACAAGAAAACAAAAAATTCGCCCTCTCAGATTTTCCCTTGTTTCTCTAACCTGCAACAATGTAATTTACTGGAAAGACTATTATATATAAATGGAAAGTTGATAAAATTACCTTTCAAATGCATATTTCATGCATAATTTTTTAAAGCCTTTGGTTTAAATTTCAATAAAATACTATAGTTTTCTTTCATTTTATTTTACAATACATTGCTATTAGATAATAGAATTTTATTTTATGCACTCATATTGGCAACTTGCATTAGGTACCAGTTCTGCCGCACCACTACTAGCTAGCCGCTTCTGGCATAACATGTTAGAACTGCTCTTAGCGACAGGCAAAATAACGAATGTGGCATATACCAATAGATTATTCAAATAATTAATTTTTCATATTTGTGTTCTATTAATCTTTATAAAACTTTGCAAAGAGACTGCGACAATCCTGAAGAGCCGGTAAAAAAAATCATATTTACACATACATTACTTTTTGTGGTATCTATATTGGTTAAATTTCGAATTCACTTTTATTTGTATAGACGATCCCAAGAGTACGTACTACATTTGTAAGTTTCCATGAATTCATACTACTTTAAACAATGTACGCGACTCGTACGAAATGCCTTTCACACGTTCATTTCAAAATCTACAACATTTCATTCGTACTCTACAGGCTTTCTTTCCGTACAAGTTGCGTAATTAGCTACTGTCGCATACTCCATTGTGCTCGTGATAACCCGTGGGCGTCTGACCGGCGTAGTTGGGTGCGATGTCGATGTGGTTGCCCAGCCAGGCCACGTTCTGCGCGCCCATGCTCCCCAGGGCGAGGGAGAAGCACAGCACGCCCCGGATCACGTCGCATTCGCCGATGAACGAGATGCCCACCAGGCTCAGCGCCGGGATCAGCAGCGCTACGAGCCAGGCAAAGCGGACGGATCTCTTCATATTGTCTCGTCAAACGTATTTTCCAGTTCTACATGGGAATTGGGGACCAAATAATCCCCTCACCTTATCTTGTGAAACACTTTTAAATTCTACATGTAAATTGGAAACCAAATAACCCTCTCATCTTATCTGGGAACCGTTGTATGATGGAAATATACCACCCCGCACCAAAAGTCTCGAAATGGAATTTATTAGTGGAAGTGACCGAAAATCCTTCTAATGCGGAAACGGAATGGTTTTTAGAGATTGGAAAGTAATTATTACCTGGCTAAGAAGGATATTTATTTTTAATTTTTTGTCCCTTTTTTTACAATGGCATAGTGAAAAGGGTCACGCCTTGAGATAATAGAGTTTTTCCTGTTACGCTTCCTACCAAGAACTCTTTGACGAACTCAGCGCTGCGACTTCCACATGCTTTGGCGTGATTTTCAAGTTCGCAATAGCGCGACTTCGTCGCTGTTGCCCCAAACCCTTCATTTTAGTCATCCACACTCCCGTTCAATTGTCAAAATCGTCGCCATTTTACCTTAAGTCTACAATGGAAAGGCCAGAGAATATAGGCTGTCTCGCCATCCTAGCGTAGCATTCGTACGGTTAACGAGATGTAGACAACACAATATAATGAACCCTCGCAGTGTGCTAGTGTGTCAAAGTGTCTGTAAATCGTATGTGCAAAACCCATCCGGCACAGATGAAAAAGCGGAATAAATGTTTGTCCTATATTCTCCCTGTCTTCCTGTGTTGATTTATTTTATTTCCTGCAATATTTTCATTGATACAATATATTAATTTTCTTTATTTTATTTCACAAACAAAAGTATATCTTACAAATACAGAGTTTAAGTTATATGGCTAAATTTGACCGCCCTCTCTAACCTGCCAAAACGTAAATATGTTGAAGGAACCGTCGCCACCGCCTGGGACTCACCGATGGAGGCGCCGGTCTTCCTGGCCGCCGTGGTGCTGATGTGGTTGTTGTTGCGCAAGTGGTCGATGGCCGGCCCGGCCGTGACGCTCACCAAGAACATGGTGATGTACGGGATCGAGGAATACGTCGTGTTCTGGAGCACATCAAGAGGGCGGTTCCTTTTGAGCAGAGCTCTGGAGGTGACTGAGAAAACATTCTGAATTTAAAATGACAGTTGCATGACGGTGAACATTCTCTCCTTGTGGTCGGAACAATTTCAATTCTCCCAGAACGGAATAGCAGGAATTTAGCGTCTCAATCTAGTTACTTAAAAAACAATCTGTTAAGGAATCTTCAGGGATAGTCAAGAAAAATTTGAAAGTATCCGATATTTATATTGTGGAATTACAATTATTTACCAACAATATATTTTACAAAATCCTCTCTCTCAACCTTGGAGACTTTTAATCAATTTGCTAAATATTTGTGCAGTGCATGTTTCAAGGTCATATACCAGCATACCGAGACTTTATTTAATTTTACTTTTCTGAGTCAGACTACTCTAATGTTAAGCTCGACTAATGTTAGAGATTCACTTCAGCAAAAGTATTCGTTAAATAAAAGCTTTCGTATTTAAGGAAGGCTTTGAGTCAGCCAACCTGACGAAATGTCGCGATCGTCACGATTTGTAGAAACAACGCTCCGTTCTCTTTAACCGCAAAGACCTTTCATACTCACACTCATTTGTAACCAAATTGCGTGAAGTTAACTCCGTAGAGTGTAATATCAACACATTCTTTTAATTAACATTATTATTTAGTTTTATTCCCTAAAAATTTACACTGCTTACAGCGCTTTATAAAAAAATACATTTTTCCACATTTTATCATTTTTTTCGGTTTTCTAAAGTTAAAATGAAATCAATCTCTATAAATACCAGAGGACACCAAAACTTCTTTATGTAAGGAAATTCTTTAAAAAATTGGAGCCTTATTGAGCTCATTTACATTCGAAAAAATTTGAGAATTCGAAAATCTTCATAAGACTTCTTAAGTAGTATGTCTGCAAAATTATAAAATGGAATTGTAATGAAACCATGAACGGCAAGTAATATGTTTTAAGAAATACTAGTATGTACTATGTAGTCCCAAAAATAACCGATTCCAAACCGCAGGACCTTGAGTGAGGAAGATCGATCGGAAACCATTTCTGGAGAAAATCCTACGTACACATTAAGCGTTAGTGTTGCTCACAAACGGGCACACTGTCGTTTTTGGTGCAGTGATGCAACTCCTAAAACGCGTATTTCATTCGAAATTTCGTAACGTTCACAATCCTGCGTATACGATAATGTACAAGTTGACTATCATTCTCAAATCCAAGTTACGCAATGAACAATACAAAGCCAAATCAAACTGTGGTAGAGAAATGTGCGACTCACCATTTGAAGACCCTGCTGGAGGACGGTTTTAATGAAGGTGGGAACCTGCGTGATGAGGCAGTAGAGGCCACAGTTTCCTCCCAAGTGGGCCACCAAAATGGCCCAGAAGGCCCTTGATCTCATTACATGTCTGCAAGGGAACTGCAAGACCTCCCTCTGTGCAATTGAAAGAAAAAGCCTTTAAAAAGTCATTTCCAAGAAAAAGAACAACAATTAATAATAATAATAATTGAAAATAATAATAATAATAATAATAATAATTGAAACCTGAATTCCAATGTACCCGTTTTAATTTACTTTACTTGATAAACGACATTTGGGGTTGAGTCGTAAAAGCACTAGTCACAGAAAACTATAAAACGTGATTTCGTTATGTGTAGTAAATAATAAATTCATTATCGTTTAATAATTTCTTTTACGTCAGAAACAGTCAAAAATTGTTTTCTAGCGTACTTTCTTACATGAAATATAAATGCCTTTTCTGTCTAGCCTATCTGTCGAAAACCTAGGAAGTGGACGTTTTTGAGACGATGGTCAGCGTAGCCGTCGTCATCGTCCTCTGTGACGTCAGAAGTGTTGCGTGGCCGCCGGCTGCTGGCGCCCGATGTAGCTCCGCCGCTAAAAGAGCGTCTCGGCAGGAGAGGAATAGATAACAGCTTGACCTCCGCTCAGCGGGGGGGGGCGGATGCTACACGTGATCTCGTCGCCCGGGTGCATGGACCTTCCACTTCCCCGTCGGTTCAGAACGCCCAAACTGGCCCTGCCGACCTCCCTTCCCCCCTCCGTCGGTTCAGATCGCCCTTAACTCCCTGCCGACACTCCCCCACCCCGATAGTGGAAATCGACCCCGCGAGGTTCTGCAGCAGCTTCCCGCCCTCACCCTGGCCACCGTGCACTTCGAGTGTCGCCAACACTTCCGATGGCCGCTGCAAGGTCTCTCTTCCGGAGAACAGTCCTCGGCGAGGCAGGGCTACGTCAGGTACCTACGTAAGTACTGTCTCCCCAATGAACTGATATTTGCCATGACCGGGGTCACTACCGTTCATATTTCTCACTCTCATCCGTCTTAGGCCTTTAGGAGAATTGGCACCTCCTGCCCTCACCGTCCCTCCACTCCACTCGCCCGCACGAGGTGCCTGACCCTGCTCCACGGCAGAGGAGCGCACAGACTACGCGCGCGGACGCTGAGAGAAGAAGCGAATCTACCTCCTACTCCTTGTTTCTCAGACTATGTGAACCCTACACACACACACACACACACAGATTCAACGTGTTGACGTTTGACGTTGAGTAATAAGATACACGACAAACATGACTTTCAAGACAACGGGGATCGGATTGGTAACAATTAATGCGGCTCAATGATAATTAGGGTCCAATTGTGGTGACATAACTCGGGCATCCGATTGGTATAATATAATACCCTATTATTACAAAAAATATATAATGAAGTTATAGTTTTCTTTGTATTAATCACCCTGCGTGCATTCGAACCGCCCGCACCGCCACCCCCCCCCCGCCGCCATGCGTCCTTCCGGCGTCCGCCCTTCCTCTGCTCCTCCGCTCTTTTGGCACCCAACGCCCGGCGCGCCTAAGCGCAAGGCGGCGGCGCGCGTTTATTCAAAAACTTGTTGGCAGTGCGTTTACGACCGTACATTTGCGTTCTTTCGCGAACGTGTATCCAACGCCCCGCCTGCGCTCGCCATAAGAAGCAACCGCGCAGGCCGCCCTTCGTCTCACAGAGCTTTCGCCTGCCCTTTCCACGTGCCCAGAGAACCCTTCTACTTTCGACCAGCTCCTTCCGCCAAGGCCTCGCGGTAGCACCTGCGACAGGGGGGGGCGTTTCTATATATTTATGTGACCAACCCGCGCCCCAGAAGAGGTAGAGAGTGAGATGAGAGATAAGAGAGAGATTTGAGAGGACAGTCCGGCAGATGTTAGATGACACAGTGATGGCTCAAGGGCCAGATTGATTCAAATTCGGCAGTCATGTATCATCATGCCGCAACGGCATTGACGACATCAATAAGCAATATAGGTTACCCACATCGCCGTTAATCAGGGCGATAGGCTGCCCATATCGGCCTCAATCACGACTACAGGTTGGCCATCTCGGCCTCAATCAGGGCTACAGGATGCCCATCTCGACATCAATCAGGGCTACAGAATGCCCATTTCGCTTTTAAGTAGGGCTGCAAGCTGCCCATTTTCGTGTCCCTCGTGCAATCGCAGCGCATCAACCAAATTAGACCACGACGGCACTGCCTGGCCTTTGTGTCCGGGGATTTGGAGCATTCGCTCGGAGGTGAATTGTGACATGTGTATCGACCTCTGTGCAGCAAGTTCTAAGCCCCGCCAACAATCGGGACGAGTTCAACGCCTCCACATAACGAGTACGAGTCAGTAGCTGTTTCTGCCTCCGAGGTGACGAGCCAAGCAGTTCAGTTATGTTCAAGTTCATTCTAAGCAAAGTAATCTCATTAATTGAATTGAACTGTTGTGATCATCGTTAGGTAATGAATTTTTGGTCATTTTGAGTTTGTCAAACAATTTTATAGATTGTTATTTGTAAACTACTCATTACATTTTAGATAGCTTTCCATCACCGTACGAGCCCAGCTTGCATTTTGTATATAGTATAGCAGTCTTATAATTTTCTTTCTTAGACCGTAAGTTTTATTTTATAATTTCCAAGAGGCATTATCACTTGCTTTTTATCTTCATTTATTAAATGTTTATTTAAGACAATTTTGCTTCTTTGTCATTCGGCCGATCCTATGATTTCCTCATACGAGGGAGTCCTTCTGTCCTTTACTTTTAGTAGCCCTTCCTCGAGCTACCGGAGGGCGATATGTGTGTGCTTTGCGATCATATAGCCAACAGTCGAGTCCACGCTGTAGTCTTACCCTCGTGCGTGGCGGCGTGTGACAGGGGGTGAGAGGGGAGTACCGCGTCTGCACACGCTCGCACCACACGGACGCGCGGTGCGCTCACATTCTTATATAAATGTTCAAGACATAATCATATTGGTTTATGTTTCTAAAAATTATAAATTATAACAGTAAACAAAATAATAAAACAAACCCAATAACTATTTTCAAGCATTTGTTCATTTTCTCCGTCCACTTGTTATAAAGTGATTTGTGTGTATTTATTCGTGTAACGAAGATGGAAGGAGAAGGGGACATTGCCATCCAATACCAAAAGCTTTAAGTCGTAACGAAGCTCCCGATTGAGTCCCCCTATCGTCCAGCTCGTGGCCCTGAAGCGACTCCGTTTCAATCGGAGTACGGTCCATGTATCAACTGTTAGTGATTCAACTGCTTAGGTCATTGGTCCCGTAAGTGTAGTGCACGTTCCCCCTCGGGAGGTGACTGTGCCCTTCCCTCGCTGGATGGTGGGAACGGCGCCGACCTACCATCGACTACGGGGATTATCCCCAACCAGGTATCTCCCAGCAGTAGGGCACCGCCCCAGCCGGGACAAACTCTAAGCTCCCGACCGGTCTCCCACCATGTTTGGAAGTGTAGTGCATGTTAGTTTAAGTGTGTGTAAGGAGTGAGAATAAGTCAAGGAAGAGGAAGGAAATATCGCACTCTGTCCATGACCCATTTGTTAGGGTATTGCTCCGTCATTCGCCTGGTGTCGACGGGCGAAACCACGGAAAGCCAGGCTCCCACCTTGTCCGGGTCCTGCTCCACTTCGGGCGCGACCTGGGCGAGGATCTGCGCGCGCTCCTGCGCGGTGATGTAGAAGGCGGTGGCGGGGCTGTCCTCGATCCAGAACATCCAGCACAGCAGCCAGGGCACGCACATGACGGCGCTGATGTAGAACATCCACTCCCAGCTGAGCGCCACCGCCAGGTAGCCCGTCGTCAGCGTCGACAGCACCATGCCCACGGCCGTGCCTGCGCGCCGCGCCCGCGCCACGCGGCTTTTGCCCTCCACCCTCGGCCCGCTGCTCCAGCGAGGAGGGGGAGGAGAAGGGAAAGGGAAAGGAAGAGGGGCGAAGAGGAGGAGGAGGAGGAGGAGGTACCTGCGTAGATGACGCCGGTGAAGACGCTGCGCGAGGAGGGCGGGGCCCAGTTGGAGATCATGATGTGCATCGACGGGAAGGACATGCCCTGCGGGACACCGCGCGCGAGCGCCTCCGTCACCCTCGCCCTGCGCTCGCAGCTGAAACACTCGGCAACGGACACTTGGGCTCCCTCCTCGCTGCCTTCACGAATAGCACAAACCACATCCTGCATTTCCTGAATTTAGTTAGGATTCAAAGTTAGGTTAGGTAGGTTTTAACTATAAAGAAGATGATTTTATTTTCTCAACAGTACATGTGTTCGTCTGTAAAAGTGCTCTCGTTGTTCAGTGTGCTCTCGTGACTTAATGACGAAGTCGCTTACTTTTCACCACTGAGTTTCCGGGTTCGATTCTCGTAGAATCTCCGTAGAACCTTACGGGAAATTTGTTACAACAAAACGTACTTGCCTGGGCTAGTCCAGTCCTTGTGAAGTGTTCTATACCTCAGCCCTTTTCCTTATTCCTTCCCAATTCTGGCAGCTGGATATTGATATAGGAGGCACGTACGCGGAGACGCTACCTGGCGGTCCTCTTGAAAACTCACTACAACGAGACGTGACATGGCATACTAGTAATGGAAGATTACTCATACTAAGCGCTCAAACATGATGAGTCGTAGATTCTAAAGCGCTCGCTGGGAGGGGAGATCTGAGCCGATTGACGGAGCAGGCGAACGACCTTCATTTCGCTTTCACGCACAATCGCTTCAACGCGTGTTCAACGGGCTGATAAGCCTCCAGAGGGAGACAGGTAGTGACATACTTAATTCAACTGCTGCGCGTTGAGCGCAGCAAACAGTACTTCATTATCCGTTTTCAAATTACTTGTTACAGATATTTCAGTTACATAAGCAATGTTCATTTTAGAAAAGACGAAGAAAAATTAATTTTTTTTTATTGGTATGGTAAACAATCCTGCTCCTCAAAAAATACTTTAAATGAAAGTAAAATGTCTGTTCAAGATGGAGAAAAAAGGGCTCTTAATGTCCTAATTTTGTAATAATGTAAGTTAAAGTTAGTGAAAACTTTCATATAAAATTCGTTTGGGGGTAAGTGCTTTTTAAGATATTGAAGTTATACG